GAATTGTGTTTTGTTTTCCCGCCTATCTCTCCCTCTGAGTATTTCTATTCGCTATGAAAGTTTGACAGATAGAATGAAGGGTTCGTGGATTTTCCTATGTTTCGAGGGGTGCATCGATTAGCTTGGGACCGAAGATAGTACCAGAGCTGAGCCAAAAAGTTGAACTCGTTTTTTCGGGACCTTCCGGTCTTAGAGTTACCTTTATGCTAATACCACCGACAAACCGACATGAATGACCATACAAAGTATCATCAAATTTCTGAACAAAGCACAAAACTGACATCTGCCACCGTGTTCGCGAAAAATGTGTATCCTAGCCACGAACACACATACAAAATGTATGAGTTGGTTCGTGTCTAATCTATTCTGGGCAAATTATTTTTATCTAGATAACAAATTTCTATGGTTTTGACAGATGGGATCGCTGCACATTTGAATTCGCCGTTATGGATTCTTGATCAAGAGTTAAGTTTAGTTTCATGTCGGTTTGTCGGTGGTGGCTGATGGCACAAGCTTCTAAGAAAATTCTATTTCAGCGAATCACATTATTTTAATTGATTTCTTCGCCAATTAGTCGTCAGTCACTCAGGCTTGCTTCCACTCACTTGCTATAAAAAAAATGTTATACGGAATCAGGGTTGCTTCCACTCACTTTCTATAAAAAAAATGATTTTCTGAATTTTGAAATCATTAGACGTTATAATGATAATTAAATTATCATTATAACGTGTACTTGTTAGCTACAAGAAGATGTTGAAAGGCAATTATCTGACACATTAAACCTGTCAATTTCGCTTCCAGAGTGTTACAATCAGCGATTTTATGATTCGTGAGCGTTCACTCAGAGTGAGCGCTCGCGAGTCGTAAAATCGCTGATTGTGACTATCTCAAAGCGAATTTGACAGGTTTTATGTGTCAAACACTTGCCTTTCAACTTTTTCTTGTATCTAACAAGTACAAAATATCATAATAACAACTAATGAATTCAAAATTCAGAAAATCACTTTTTTATAGCAAGTGAGTGGAAGCAAGCCTGTACGGAATTATGAAATCATTAGATATTATAATGATAGTTATTAGCTGTAAGTCACAAGATAAGGTTGTAAACTAGGTGTTTGACACATAAAACCTGTCATTATTGCTTTCAGTGCGTCACAATCAGCGATTTTACGATTCGTGAGCGCTCACTCTGAGTGAACGCTCACGAGTCATAAATTCGCTGATTGTGACGCACTGAAAGCGAAATGGACAGGTTTTATGTGTCAAATACATACCTTCCAACCTCTTCTTGTTTCTGACAAGTACAAACTTTCATAATAGCATCCAATGATTTCATAATTCCGGAAAACATTTTTTTATAGCGAAGTGAGTGGAAGTAACCCTGCTGTCACTTCGTTTGTGCTAATACCAACCGGTGGAAACTAACGATTTTAAATTGGCTCACTACTTGACTAGCCTATCCAGCATTTTACGAGTGCTCATGGCCGCCACAATCTGGTTGAGTTTCTGGTAGGGAACATTTGACTTGATTTTTGGGTTGTGTCGTTTTTTTTTTTCCTTTGGTTTGTTTTTTCCGTCGATCTTGTTTTCCGTGCTGAGCACCAATGCTACCGACTTGCCAGGAAGGCAGCTCCCACACCTGGACCCTACCTATCGACCCATCAACTCATGAACCGGGGACCAACGGCTTTACTTCCCATCCGAAGGAAGGCGTGATCAGAGATGTTATTCCTCAGAACATCCCGGCGGCGCCGACTGGGATTGAACCCAGGCCTGCTGGGGTGAGAGGTAATCACGCTTACCACTACACCACCAGCGCCGTTGGGTTGTGTCGTTTGACGTATAAACGATCAAATTTGACCGTTTACAGGTCAAACGACACAAGCCAAACATCAAATAATATGTTCCCTACCAGAAACTCAACCAGATTGTGGCGGCCATGAGCGCTCGTAAAATACTGGATTGGTCCCAAGCAAATCGTTTAAGGTCCCCATTCTAGTCGAAATTCTAGTACTACACTATGTTTGTTTTGATTCGCTATGAAAGTTTGACAGACAAAATGAGGGGTTCGTGGATTTTCCTATTGGCGTTGACGACGACTCTGTAGCTCTTTACTCCTATGGTAAAATCCATAAGTAAACGTCAGACTGTGCGTGAACCTTGGCAGACTTTGTACTATCCTTTCACTCCACAAAAAATTTCATAAGAAACTGTCAATCTTTTCTATACGAGACAATTTTTCGACGGTGCCGTCAACGCCAATGTTACGAGGGGTGCATCGATTAGCTTGGGACCGAAGAGAGTATCAAACCAAGCTGAACCAAAAAGTTGAGCACGTTTCTTCGGGACCCTCTTGTCTTAAAGTTACCTCTATGATAGTACTAGAGCTGAGCCGGGACCTTCTGGTCTCTATAGTACAACGTAAGTAAAACCATAGAGGTAACTCTAAGACTAGTAGGTCCCGAAGAAACGTGCTCAACTTTTTGGCTCAGCTCTGGTACTCCCAAGCTAATCGATTCACCCTTCGAAACATAGGAAAAACCAATAACCCCTAATTTTACCTGTCAAACTTCAAAAACCTGTCAACGAATCAAAACAAACATTGCGTAGTACTAGAATTTCGACTAGAATGGAGTACGTTAATCGTTTGCTTGGGACCAATAGGCTAGTCAAGTAGTGAGCCAATTTAAAATCGTTAGTTTTGTATTGATTGTTGGTAAAACCATAGAATTTCGACTAGAATGGGGTACGTTCATCGATGTACTTGGGACCAATAGACTAGTCCAGTGTGCGCCAATTTAAAATCGTTAGTTTTCACCGGTTGGTACAATGGTGTACTTTGTACGTCGGTCGAAGGCCTTAAATGCATTTAAGTTAAATATAAGATATAGGGTAAATGTTGGCTTCGGCACCCATTGACTGTTTTCGGCAACCTAAATTTAAACGTTAATTTCACTATGTTTTCCCATCAACGCACTTCCCTGAATGTGTCCAAACGATTGTTTAGCCTTTCAGCTTCAATCTGATTATATTTGAACGATCGAGCAATCCAGTAATGCTACATTTTTCTTCAAATAAAGAATACGCACTACAAAATGGGGTTGATTTCGAGTTGCCGATAATAGAACATCTGGTTAACACGCAGTTCTAATGGGAAGGTTGCCGAAGAAAAAGAGGCTGCCGACAATAGTCACACTCACCTGAGAAGTTTGGAGCGTTGTAAAAACGCTTTCAAAACGTTTTGAAAAATTCTGTCGATTGGAATGGATAGAGAAGCAAGCAGCAGATGAATGTAAACAAACAGACTCATCATATATGTGCGTGACGCTGAGAAAATGCTAGTAGAAGTGCAGACGCTGCTTAGATTGACGAGAATACGTAAATTCCCCTATTATTCAATTAGATTAATTTTCAATTTCAGCCTCTCAAACCGTTTACTTTACTTACGCCGTAAGAGAAACACTGGAAAGTAAACATTTGTTATTCATACGGCCCATGGCAAGCCATCATCGCACAACTATGCTCAAAGCAATAAGCTGATCAAATTCAAAAGCAAAATATAGCTGAAAAAACCAAAGTATTTTTATTGCCATTCGATGATGTAAAGAAGGTGAAACTCAATCGATCGGTTCAATTTGTATGGATTTATTTCATTTCACTACGAAAATCATAAATTCTCTCTTTTCATATGGCATTCTTGCCTGTTTGACATCCACACATAGTGAAACAAAAAGTTGATATGATAATACAAAATTCCTCAATTTGTGTAATAGCACATCAGTCCCTTCGCGATTTTCGCGACATCATTTAATGTTTCTGCGATTTTCACGGCTGAAAGTTCAAATCCGCGAAATCCGCACCTGTTGTACCAGCCCTGGAATTGGTTGAACTGGTACCCCTACAAAGGTGCGTAACGCCATTGGGCACCTGTGCAGGGGTGTCAGTTCAACCAATTCTAAATGAGCGTCGGTTCAGGTGTTTCGCTGTGAGATCCTTATACCCTGTTCACATTACAGCGTATATCACGTGATATACGATATCTTGCAATGAGCACTCATACATCTAGTTTTCACTGAATATCCTATGTATGAGTGCTCATTGCAAGACAGCCTATATTACGTGATATAGGCTGTAATGTGAACGGGGTATTATTCTCGTAACCACTTTGAAACTTTCAGCGACAAGTACCACAATGAAACGTTTGCTGTACTGCAACATATATGAAGTAGCAATTTCAGGTGAAATTGAGCATTAATATCCGAGGTTTGTGTAATTGAAAATTCGACGTGGATGTGCAAGTATAGTCTAGGTGGTGGCCATTTGTGGACTCTATAAGGAATCACCTTAATTGCAATTTTAGCTACTCAAACTAACGGGGTTCTACGGCACAGCCTCCCTCTGAGATGTCCACGTGGTATATGGACAGTTTCAGATCAATTCCCACGTAGAATTTGAAAAGAGCCTATAATGTTATGTAAATAAAACTTGCTAGGGCCTAAACACGCGAACCGATGTACGCCCACGCAAACCAACATCATCGGGTAGCGTAAATTCTCCCCTACCCGATGGAGTTGTTGGTTTCCGTGGGTGTACTTCGGTTCGTTCGTGCAGGCCCTAGCAAGTTTTATTTACAAACGTTGATAGGCCCTTTTCAAATGTTACGCGATAATTTTATTCACCGCACAGGAGGGCTGACCTCCACGTCATAGCATATCTAGATTTTTTTTTATCAGTTAGGATTTCTTTCAAAGCGACAACACAAAGGCAAAATCAGTTATTTTACATCATTTTCTTGAAACATTATTCTCACTGAGCTTTTGTTATAAAATATATAGGTACGTCGTACACGTGTTACTGGATAATTATTTTTACAATCTAAGACATATACCGTGATTTTTCGTCTAAATAATAGAGCCTTCTTTCAATCGAGTCGGTAAGAGTCAGTTTGTTTGAAGCGATTGTCTTTCTCATAGCATTTTTCTTTTTGTCAAAAGTCTTATAAAAACAATAAATAGCTCTCATTCTCATCTGCATCTGGTCTACTCTATGTGAATATATAAAGCAAAAATATATAATATAAATAAGCATAAACGGTAATTATGGTAAAAAGTATGCTACAAAGGAGTAGCCACGCCATCGTTCAAGTCGTGTTTTCTTGAATCGAACCGCGGGAGTTACGTTGATAATTTCAAAAGTTCGAACGTGTTAAAATCTTCTAAATGTGAAACAATAATGAGTAGAACTTACAAAATAAAGATACACAGACACATCACAGGGTAAAGTTTACGGAGCACGTGATATACTTACTTTTCCCCGTTATTTCTCAATTTTGCTTCTTTGGATAAACTTAAAATGATAATTTTTTTAGTAACGATTCGAAAGATGCAGTAGGTAGAAATGCGAAAGAGATTAAAGAGATCGAACATTATTTGGGGGGGTCTACGGTGCGCAAAATTGTACACCACTTGTTACTGATAGTTCACGTAGCCCTCGGCGGCGATTGTGAATGGGATGCTATGGTCGATGTCCCCCGACAAGTGGGAAATCATCGGTATTCGGAGGGGTTGGTGCGTTAGGAAGCTTGCCGTAGTCACTGGTGGCGAGCAGGATGATGACGACGGGGATGTAACAGTGGAACTGGTTTCGCGGTTATCCATGATTTCATTGCCAGCATCCGGACTGTATTGACCGAGAAAAGCGGCCGCATCTTCGGTGGCTAGCTGCATTAGGGCGAGGGCTCCCTGGAGTTTTCGATTGGTTTCTTCCGGCCGATGCGGCTGGGTTGCCGGAATCATCGGTTGTTCATTGAGCGGACGAGCGCAGTGCTTGCTGGCTACCATTAGCACTGTTGGACGCATCTGGTTAGGGTTGATAGCGGCTACTTTCGCTGCTTCTCCGTTTGTCGTTTGTTTGAGGTAGTTGCTTTCCTGGTTTAGTTGCTGCTTCAGAGCGGCTGTCGAGGTGGTACTGGATAATGCCTGTGGTGAAATGATGCTGGGCTCTAAAGGTTTAGCTAGATCTTCCTGCCATGCATCACGTAGCCACTTCTTCTTTGGATTGAACGTCGACCGAGCAGGCACTCCAGTGGACTCATCACCGGAGTCGTCCTCTTCTTGGCTGGTCGGTTCATGCCATTGGATAAGCTTGGGTTGGTTTGGTTTGGTTTTAGCTGTGATCGGACTGGCCGATAGACCCATACCGGCATTCATGTCCAGCTCGCACATCAATCCCTTGCGGCTTTTGAATGGCGAACGCGGCGTTATCGGCGACTGGAATGCGCTTCCGTTAGCTTCGTAGTTCTCGTTGTTCACGACCGATTGCGCTCGGTTCTCATTCTCGTTCTGGGCGCTGTGATTGGGCCTCTTCGGAGTCTTACGCGTGGGTGTTCGATCCTCACGCTCCAGTCGGTATTTGTCCAACCATTTCAGAACTTCGGAGTTCTGTTCCGGTACGGTTTGGATGACAAAGTCGTCGCATCGTTTCAGCGTATCGTACGGATGGTCCGGGCAGTGTCGGTTGGCATGGGTAAAGCGCATCTGACAGTTGGCGGCGGCACAGATGAATGGCCGTTCGCCGGTGTGCAACCGTTGGTGGGTCTTCAGCTGTCCGCTCTGGGTGAAGGCTCGGGTGCATCCCGGGTAGTCGCACTGGTAGGGACGTTCGCCTGAAAAGGTAGGATATAAATTTGGAACGTTAGACAACAGAGCTAGTTGTGATGGAGCTAGAGGGGTCGTTACAGATTTATTAAATTCCAGCAAGCAGCGTAAAACTTTTTCGAAATTGCTCGAAAAACCTGTCTCATTTAAAATATGCAGAGCGAATCGAGAAAAAATTGGACAACTGCTATTTAATAGCTGTCAATTTATTAAAAGTTCCACCCAATTCAGGATAAACTTAAAATCATTTACCAATTTGCATAGTCAACGAAGATCTTGAACGATATTTAAATTTAAATATTGATTATTGCGTCGCAGAAAAAATGATTTTTTTTATACTCATGAAGGAATCACATCACATCGAGTCACATGCTTAAAAATTAAAAATCCCCTAGCAAAAGGGACACACATGCAACCGAGCTCAAAACAACACATTTGCTGTGCCCATATCCAGAATGAAACACCGGTCCATAAAATCTACAACGCAATGAACGCTTCGAAAATGAAACAAACAAAAAAACTATCCCTCTTTTATTCATTGCAAATCTCTCCTGTTAGAAGAAAGCCGATGTGGCAACGACCAAGAGAAGAAGGAACCCTACATAAATCCAAATCCGAAGGGTTTCAATCACCACTGCGTTTTACCTGTCCAATCTCTACCTCTATCTGCTATTGTGTTCTATTCACCGTATACAGAATCCGGCCTGGTTCTTTCGTTCTTCCGTGCGTCCTTTCACTTTCGGAGAAACCCAAAGGGGGTTGCAAAAAAAAATCTACACATATCCCATAAGGGGAGGGTGAAAACTACCGGTGTTGTACACCTTTAACCAGTTTTTAAACCATCGTCACGGAACACGTGCAAAGAAACATTCTAACATTATAATACCTATTCATGAGATATTTCATACGACATACGAAGGGAAAACGTGGTTCCAACGTGAAACACCGGGAGTGTCGAAAAATGATGCGTCATGTTCGATCCTGTTAGATCGACGGCGACGTGGCGTGGCGTGACAATGCGGCGGGAATAGGTCTCACATTGCTTTTGTTTTCGGGCAATTTCGGGCAACGGGATTTTGTTGTTGTTGTTGTTGGCAAATCGCGAAAGCAATTTGGCGTTTCTGTGTGGCCGTTGACACCTTGTTGTTTTTTAAATTTAAATAGCTACACACGAGCGGGCCGGTCACACGTCGCCGATTGGATGCGTTGGCGTTAATTTTATGCCTATAGTCGAGCGTGACCGGACTTTTGAATGCCAATATTTTGACTGGGCATTTATTTACACCGGTTTTGCTTTTTGGATTTGTGGTTGGATTTGCTTTGTTTTTTTTAGAGAATACCAGTTCTCCGTTCAAATAAGAATCCTCGTAATCATGGTTCAAGTCTTATTTTGGCAGCGTATCCAAAAAATGACAGGCAGGAAGCCTAGGTCACCTCTGTATGATCTATGCAATTTACAATCAGTAGGTAGGTATATAAATGTTTATTTCAATTGAAGCTCCCTCTTATTTTGTATCCCCGCTCCATTCCGGTCGTTCTAATATCGGAGTTTTGCTCTAAATACTGTTCCATACTTCTCTTGACATGAACAAGGTTACCAGGGAATAAATAATTATTTGGTTTATTTTAGTTCCTGTAGTATTCTTCGATACTTTACAGCGACAACGGAAAAAAAAGGTACCAAACTTTTTTTTAAACTTTATTTAGAAGATTTTTAGCCACGGACTAATTCATCCCTAAAGGTAGCAAACGGTAAATTTTCAATTTTTTACTTTTGCGATAATTTTGGATAAGACAAATATTAATGTAATTTATATAAGGTCTGGACCAAAAAACTTAAGGCCCAAACGCAATGTAGACGGAAGCAGAACGGAAACGGAAAGTTTGACAGTTGTCACAAATGACATCAAGAAGCCTAACGGATGTCGATTTGGTTCTAACTAGTTTTCAATCCGACAAATAGGCTTAAGCTGGGTTTAAACTAGGCAAGTCAAATGATCAATTCAGTTGAATTCAATTGGCTTGAAAAGTTGAGCCTGGTTCAACTTTTTTCAATTCAAGTGAGTTGATCAAGTCAGTTGAATGGCATGGTTTACACGTTCAATTCGCGTTCAAGCCAGTTGAATTCCACTGACTTGATCAATAATTGACTTGCCCTGTCTAAACCCAGCTTTACTCAGAACGGGCTTTTCCGCTGCCGCTGCCGTTTCGCTTCCGCTGTCATCGCGCTTGGGCCTTTCCTGAGTTAGTGAAATGTGCAAATGTTTAAGGGTGTTCGTATTTCATTGCAATGTTTATCTTTTCACACGAAACAGCTGTTGTCAGTGACGTAAGTGACGTCGTCACTTGAGCGCTCAGCAATTACTTCTATCTACCTGAGTTAACACGAGCAATCAACTACTCTCAACTTAGTGTTTTTAAAAGCACTTCCATAGTTCTGGATCAAAAATAGAAAAGGGCCCATCAGCATTTGAAAACAAACCGCTCCAAAGCCCTTTACTCACAAAACGAAGGCCACCCACGCAAACAAAGACCATCATCGGTTGGTTTCTGTGAGCGGCCTTCGATTTGTGAGGAATGGGCTTTGGAATGGTTTGCTTACAAATGTTGAAGGGCCCTATTCTATTGTTGATCCAGAGTTATTAATTGAGAGCTTTATAGGCCAATCTGGTTCTGTATGTTGTGTGGTAAGAACAATGATACAGAATGCCCACCAGGGAAATCGAGAACATTTTGTTTAATTTTCAAACACCAGAAGGGGGTCATAGAGTCAGGTCTCCAGTGAAAAATCACTGTCCTCATTATTGGCCTAACTTTCTTCATTGACCTGATAATTAATTCTCGTACGTCTTAAGTGACTAAATGCTTCAGTTCAAGATCAGTTCTATATTAATTATATGATGTTGAGTAAGTGCTTCAATCACGGCTAGAAGATTCCACCACTACGTGCTCTATCATGGTAAATGGTATTCCTAAATGCCACAATAGAAGCACACTATATCAGGAACCACGATCCAAAGCCCACAGCCATGATCGAAACATTCACCCTAAAGCTCAATTCACTTAACATCTGGACGCATGAAAACAGCTCTATCTCGGGATTGTTTTGATTAAAAAAAAACAGCTGAACAGTCAAAGTAAAGGTATTTTATTCAGGCTTGATGGAGCCTCGCTCGCGAGTTTGAAATGAGCCGAGCGTAGCATTTCCCGGAGGAGTAGAATGCCTACTGCAAAATTATTTCACTGAGCCTCAGAGCTTGTGAGCGAAGGGGGCAGGGCTGGTAGTGGGTATGTGATGTAATAGTAGTGACTTTAGTGACTAAAATTACGAAAATAGTGATCAAATAGTGACTTTTAAACAAAAATAAAGTGACCAATAGTGACATTTATTGATCGGAAAGATATGGTTCGAATCATCCGTTATTCCGGTATTTTTCATGCTTTTCAAAAATAAAACATGATTTAAGGATCACATAAATTTGTTATCGAAACATAAGTATGAATCGAATAAGCAAGAGCTCGTTCCAATTCTAACTTCCATTTCCTCACTCTGCAGATCACGAATTTAGATCACAAAATAGAGGCACAGAGAAAAATGTCCAAAGTATCGATTTTAGTAAGCAATTTTTGAAGATATAGGATATACAGTGTATCTCAAATTTGAGCGTACAGCTTTCCTTCATTTTTAGCAAAACGGCTCTAAAAGCACAAGGTTTAAAGATACGTCTCTAAGTTTTTGGCTGCTAAGGCCGTTCGCAATGCTGAGTTTCAAAATTGTTTTAAACTACTCGTCAATTCTATAATTTGAAACTGTCAAAAATAAAACTGCAACACGATCAGCGCAACGCACAGTTCTAAAACATGTTTGTAATCATCAAGTTCCATAAACTTTACTGTTCTCTATGACGTTCTCCGTTTTTTTGTGGAGCTCTTCGAAACATCTTCAACACATCCAAAGAAATTTGAAACAGAGTTCCATTCGTGTTTCAAACTCGCTCAGAAATAAAACAGAATAGTCGAGCAGTTGCAAATCTGGTGCAAAATAGTGCTCGAATAATGAAACTGCAACTCAGCATTGCGAGAGGTGCGTTTCTGTTATAGTTTCAAATTGAAACAGTCCATATAAAATACAACAGCATTGCGAACGGCCTTATAGTTTCAAATTGAAACAGTCCATATAAAATACAACAGCATTGCGAACGGCCTAAGTCATCATAAATTTATCAATTATCAGTAAAGTATTGGTAATTTTCGGTTGAGTTTATAAAAAGTTAGAGCTATTTTAGAAAAATGCTTTTATGTTGAAAATCCTTATTTTCTTGAAATTAAATGAACTCTTATTTAGCCCTAATAAATATCATTCATATGTCACTAATTTTACTAAAATTCGTCCACCAGGTAAATAGTTGAAAATCGAGCGTTTTACTAAAATAAATCTAATTTCAAAGAGGCTCTTCCAATAAAGTCCAAAACTATAGCGATAAATCAAAAAACATCTGTTCAACCACCAGCCGAGATTTTTAAAAAAATATCTATTCACCATGTTTCAAAAAATAGTCCAGGGTGACGAGGGGGGCGACACATCTAAATCTCAAGTTTAGATGCTCAACAAATCTCACACTAGCGAATCAATCTTCGAAAAATCTTCTTTCATTTGTCGCATCTACTTGCATCGCGCATCATCTTTTCGAAGGAAATCTTCAGAATCGTCATCAATCTTCTTTCTATCTACTCAGCGTGCGCGCAGCTAGCCACAGCAAAACACAATCTTTTCTGCATCGTAGATAGAGTCGTCCCCCTCGGGTGTACGCTCAATTTTGCGATACACTGCATATGAAGCGATGCATTTAGCAACATGAAGAACTGCAGTCTAGAATTAAATGTACTTAGAGCTAAGTTAGCCATGAGTATATAATAAAAGACCCTTCTCTTCTTTGTAGTCGCTATAACGAACTGGTCGTCTTTTTACTTTGCTCCATTCCTCCCAAGAATAGAATCTTCTGTAACA